CAACCAAAAAACCTAACCACCCATTATCAATTACATGGAATTACCTACCACCAATAATTTTAGTGAAAAGCTCATCACATTTAACATGAATCACCTATAGTATTGTGAGCTCTCAAATTTCACAAAAAGTGAATTTCAGGTATCTGATTTTAAACATGGAAAGACCTATACACACTTGAAAATCTACATGACCAAATGTAGGACTTATGACTAGAAGCACAGAGCATAAAATTTAGACACTTGAGGGGTACGAGACTAGGAGAGGGATAGCATTAGGAGAAATACCAAATGTAGATGACGGGGTGATGGATGCAGCCAACCACCATGGCGCGTGTATACCTATGTAACAAACCTGCATGTTCTACACATGTACCCCAGAACTTAAAGTACAATTTTAAAAAAAATTTCCACATAACAAGTTCCAGGGAGACAGGCCAGGAACAGTGGCTCACGCCTGTAATCCCAGCACTTTGGGAGGCCGAGGCAGGCTGACCACCTGAGGTCAGGAGTTCAAGACCAGCCTGGCTAACATGGTGATACCCCATTTCTACTAAAAATACAAACAATCAGCTGGGTGTGGTGGCGCATGCCTGTAATTGCAGCTACTCAGGAGGCTGAGGCAGTAGACTTGCTTGAACCCAGAAGACGGAGGTTGCAATGAGCCCAGATCATGCCACTGCACTCCAGCTTGGGCAACAAGAGCGAAACTCCATCTCAAAAAAAAAAAAAAAAAAAGTTGTTGTTCCAGGGAGAAAGACTACTTGCATTCAATGCCAACATATGGTCTCCATAATATCATTACTATGAAAATGTATGGATACAAAACTACCAGCACATTCTGGACTTAAAAGAAATTTAAATTTTAATAAGTTAAACTTAAGCTGAACTCAGACATCTTTTATCTTCAGGCAACCAGTATTCTCTAACATGGGGTATCACATTATAGTATAATTGCTGAATAAAAGGCAAGGAAGAATCCTGAAGATGAAATTTAAAAGTGGATTCCTGGATCTGTATGAAAGGTAAATTTTCCAGTAAATGCAGGACACTCCATGAGCAATGCAAACTAGTCTGTTACACATCATTTTTAAACATAGGATCTATATAGGTATTCCAACTGGTTAACAAATTCCCTAAAGAAATGAAAGTGGTCTCTATGAAGAGGGCACAATGAAGCACAAGAGATATGATAACCCTGAGCTTTATTTAACTATAATTTTCTATATTAACAAGCTCCTTTCCTATTTATCTAATTCAAATGGCTTTTATTCCACACCAATAATCTGCAAATATGACTGCCTTGGACTCAAAACTCACCCCTAAGGAAACTGCCTTATGTTTGGAATCTTATTTTTACTGCATTAAAGCAGTACAGAAAAAACATTACCATATATATGACGAGGAATAAGAAGATTCATAAGCATAAGGATAGCATAAACTCATTGTTCAGGAATGTGATTGGTTATCCCATCTAACAGTCTAGTGAAAAGTACCCAGAGAAATGAACACACAACACAGAACTATAGTCAGAAAATGAAGAGGTAGCCAATGTCCCCGTTCCCACCCCCATAAAGCTCCAGGATTTCTTGATAGAATGAGTGCCTGCATTACTATTTTTTCAATTTTATTTTTAAGATTTATCCGTATAAGAATTCCATAAACCGTTTATGCAGTTCATTCCAATGCCTGGCCCAAATGGATATACTACTAACTTTAAAAACAATTTATTTAAGCCTAGATGCTAAGCAGTGTTTTTGTTTTTTTTTGTTGTTGTTGTTTGTTTGTTTGTTTGTTTTTTGAGACAGGGTCTGGCTCTGTCGCCCAGTGTTACAGTCTCGCCTCACTGCAACGTCCGCCTCTCAGGCTCAAGAGATTCTCGTGCCTCAGCCTCCGGCGCAGCTGCGACTACAGGGGCGTGCCACCATGCCCAGCTAATTTTTATTTTTTGTATTTTTGGTAGAGACAAGGTTTCGCCATGTTGCCCAAGCTGGTCTCCAACTCCTGAGCTCAAACGATTACCTGCCTTGGCCTCTCAAAGTGCTGGGTTAACAGGTGTGAGCCACCACGCCGGGCCAAATTAGTATTATTCTTTTAAGAACCAAAGAAGGCTCTGGCTTAAAATTTATTAAAAAAAAAGTTTTCTTGTTTTTAAATATTTTAATGAAAACATGAGTCAGATTTCAAAAAGTAGGCTAACAGTGTTTAAATACTGTGCCAGAGTATTTGAGAAGCTGAATGAAAATAAAAGTACCTATATTTTAAAAATAAATACAATACAAATAAGGAAAAGTTTATTCTACGATTTCAAATATCAATCAAGCTACATCGTAAAGAGAATCATTTCAATTGTTTTTCACCTCCATAGCAAATGTTTGAGGTTGGTAGGCTCTCCTAGGGAGCTTGGAATCCTAAGCAACTCTCAACTAGACCTTAATTTCTCTATTTTAAATTAATCTGCTGTTGTGGGTAAACAACCATAAATTCTGTCCTGAGAAACATTTAACTTTTTCGTTTAGGTTGAGTGTGTGGGTGTGTGTTGTAGGGGAGGGGTAACCCCTTTTGACCAAAGGGTTGATGGTTTTCTAAGTAAATATTTCATAGCCACAAGGTTTTTTTTTTTTCATTTATGCTGCTTTTTCTCCCTTTCTGCACTATAAAGGCTGGCCTCCCAATTCCTACCCCGACCTTTTACCGTGGTCCAATCCCACAAGATTCCCCGAATTTCTGCGCTGGGTGGCACCTGACGGCCAAAAGTGAATCCCTGCGGCTGGCGCTACCTAGGCGCGGATAGGGCGGACTTCTGTCACCGGGGAGCAGGCGTGGGCCAAAGCCGAGGTGATTTCTGACTGCTCACTGGCGAGCCTCGCGCGGCGGAAGGTCTCCGAGCCCCTCTGTTCGCCCCGGCAAGCCAGAAGTGCAGCTGTCGCGGGGCAGGAAGCTAATCGCGGCCCCTGCGCCGCTTTGACAGGCCGAGTGGGGAGAAAAGGGTCTCATGAGCTGCAGCTAGCAGCCTCACCCCTTGGACTAGGATGCCACGGGAGCAAAACCTCCGCCCCGGCCTGAAAGCAAGCGGGAGACCGCGGAGCCACTGCCACCGACTCAGCCCTGCCCAGCAGGGGCCCGCCCAGGGGCCACTCCCCAAGGGAGGCAGCCAGTCACTCGCCCGCCCTTCCGGGCCCACTCCCGAGGGGACGGTCTCCCGCCCGCCCTCACACACAGCTAGCTCCTCAGGCCAGGCCTCCAGGGCTTCGTCCACCTCTCACCTTTGACGACGCGGTCAGCCCCAGGAGGGGGCGGCGGGGGCGGGGGCGGGGGCGGTGCAGCCCTGGCCGGCTCCGGGGCGGCCATGCTGGGCCCGGGGCTCGGCTAGGCTCTGGGCCGGGCGGGGTTGGGGGCGGGGGCGGCGGCTACCAGAGCCAAGCGGCAGCGCCGCCGGGGAACATGGCGGACCCTCTTTCCCTACAGAGGGGCTAAGACCGGCATGCACTGCGCGTGCGGGGGTGGGGGCGGGGTAGGCTCTAGGGACTCGGGCAAAATTACTGAGGCTAGGAGATAAACCGGACGAGGCCAAGGGATCAGGTTAAAATTCTTTGCATGCAGAAACAAGAATGGGGCAAATCTGTAGCTAGGTGTGAAGAACGACTGCGAGGAAACACACCGCTCTCATGGCAATCCCAGTAAACTGAGAAAACGTGATTAAACCTCAGGATCTCCTACTAATAGAGACACAAATGTATAACGATTTAGCTACCAGATATGAGTATTAAAAGGTTGGCAGGGCACTAGAGAATAGAGGAAGCATTATAGGTTCTAGAGCGGAGAAGGGATCATCCAAAATGGAGTTTGAAAGAGAATTCTGGCCTTTGTTTAGAGTCTGGAATTGTCAAGAGTCAAAGCACAGAATAAGAATGCAGCTGGAGCAGTTAAGGTTTTGTCAAAACAGGTAAGGGGAAGAAAGGGAATAAAACCAAGAGATGTGCAAAGAATTGAAAGAATTCACCTGAAAACGACACAGCCTCCTCCTGGAAGGCAAAGTGGTAAATACGGAATTGGAAATTAAATCCTTATTTCTGTGCATGCACAGAATCAGGGCCCAGGTGATTTATGGAAACTTTATAGTGACAAAGGTGACTGACATTCATGAGAAGGGGGGTAGAGGGACAAGAACTGACTGTTCATCAAAAATTATTAGATGAAGTGTGTCCATGACACCAGGAGATATGTTGAATCATGGACAGGGACCAGCATATCCACTAAGCTCTACGTACCTTGATGGTGCAGGATCCAGGTGGGATGGAATAAGAAATTCCTGCCCATCCTCCTGCTTAATAATACATGTGCTCGAGATCTGTTCATAATGGATGGTGATAAGTAAACAGTAGTCCAAAGGTCTCAAAGAGTACCTTTCTACCTCTTCTTTGTGTCCATTTCAATCCTGAGACCCAAGGTAAAAGAGGAAGGGAAAGGCCAACAATGGGTATTTTCCAAAAAGGGAGCCCACAAGCTATTTTTTAGAGGGAAGAGTCTCTTGGGAGTGAGGCATGGGTGAAAGTTGATCTTTCTGGCATGGAAGGGCCATAACACCACAGGGGAAAGGAAAAGAGGGCCCCATGGAAGGAGAGCAAGGAAGGGATAGAAGGCACATCACAAACTTGTAAGATAGAGGGAAGACACCCACAATACATGGATTAGGAGTAACTTTGTCAGAGCTTGAATCCCCAGAAAATCTCCCTAAGGAGGGGAAGAAGGAAGGAAGTGTATAATGTACTGAGTACTGAATGCTCTGTCAGGAAAGGGATGGGAAACATCCTAGCAGCAATAGTAACAAGGCAAGGCACCCTATTTTAGGGCCCATTGATTCCCACCTTGATTGTAATATCCTTCAACTCCTCTCTGGCTCCTCACTTCCACTCAGTCAAAAGCCACCTCATATATTTGTCCAGACCTCCCCACCCCAATACAAAAAAGCAAGAGCATACAAAGGGAAGAATGACAAGAAATTAAATAGAACTATCTTATAGATTTATTAATGAAAAATACTTTACAAAAACAGTATGTTTGGCCTAAAATAGTTCAGCTGACTCTGAGGGTTTACAACAGTGACTGAGCAAGTGGCAGTAATGGCTGTGCTGCTGAGGACAGAAGACTGTGTTAGTGTGCCTGACTCCCATCTGTTCAAAAGGGTGAATGTTATGTTGGCAGCTCCGCGTTCTAGGCCTAAGGTTTGGAGGGCACACTTAATGCTGATGGGCCATAATACCTGGGCAGGGGGGATGCCCTGATGATGCAATCAGAACTATGACCACGGGCTACATCTCTCTCCAAGGATGAGAGATAGGGAAGACAAAGGGTCAGGTAATAGGGATAGGTGGATAAAACAAAGAGTAGAAGTTGGGAATATAGTAGGGAACAGAAGACGAGGGCTCAGGTGGAGGTGGGGACATAAAGCATCCAGGAATAAAATGTGACCTTAAGATCCTAAGGAATGGCTAGTATCCAGAGTAATACCATGGATTCATTTTTAAAGTGGCTCAGATAAAATGTTTAAACAGCAGCTGCTTCCTTTTGCTAGGGGGAATGGAAGTTGGAATTTCAAATATCCCCTCCCAAAGAATCCGGTCTTTTTAGAGGTTCCTGACACCCCTAGGAGAACCCACCAATTCTATGTTGAGATGAGAATAGCACAACCATGGCAGTGATGCAGGGTACCAGCACTGCCACACTACAGTTTTACAGAGAAAGGTGTAGCTCCAGGAAAAGAAAGGGTGACCTTTACCATCGGCTGTGCTGCAGGACTCTAGCCCTGAGCTGCTCTCTTCCAGGCCCATCTGGTAGAATAAACAGAAACCCCTCTCCCACTGTCCTCCTGTGTCCAGACTGGGAGGCATAACTGCTTTGCCTCCAGTCATCATCTGGGGGCATATCTACTCTTCGAGGACCAGGGGTTCGGGACCCTGGAACAGGATCTGAATTCCAAGCTGACCTTAGGGGTACATGGGGACTGCTGGATGGTGGGTACACAGGATGAACAATGGGAGAGTGGGAGGGTGAATGGAAAACATCCCCCCAGGACTGAGCGTGAGGAACCTGAAGGCCCTTGCTTCTTTCTGGTAATGTGGCAGTGTAGGTTAGCGGAGGATTGCATCCTGGAGTAGTCAGGAATCTGGTCCCAATATGCTGGTTGGTCTCTGACCAGGGTGCCCAGGAGGTGTCTGTTCTGGAACGATGTGGGAGGCTCTGGTAGTTCAAAGTCCTTCCTGTGTACTTGATCCCTTGGGAAGTTTCACCCCTGTTACACATAGCCAGAAACTGCTGGACACTCCTCGAAGTTCCTGGGGAAAGAAAAGAAACCCAAAGACTCAGCATCTTCAAAAAACCATTGTCTTTCCCAGAGAGCCATGCCTAGCTGTTCAGCCCAATTCCTCACTCCTCCAAGAGCATACACACAAGGGAAAGAAAGAACCTAACTGCTTTTGATTCTATTTTTTAAAATTCTTAATATTCATCAAAATCAAATCTCATACCTCCAACCTGGGCAAATGAAACAGTCTCATGGATGTTGCCATACCTCTACCTCCCTCCACTATAATCTGTCATCCAGCACATACACACATATAAAAGAAGGGCCGTATACTCCCTTTGTGATGACTATACTTTTAGAGCCACCATACCAAAACCTCACTCAGCCTTTCTTTTTTTAAAAAATAGAGATGGGATCTCACTATGTTGCCCCAGCTGGTCTGGAACTCCTGGGCTCAAGCAGTCCTCCCACTTTGGCCTCCCAATGTGCTGAGATTACAGGTGTGAGACTCTGTGCCTTTTTTTCCCAACCTTTCTTAAAATGTTATCTTGAACAAAAACAAAAACAAACAAAAAATTCCAGCACTCTGGGCGGCTGAGGCGGGTGGATCACGAGGTCAAGAGATCGAGACCATGCTGGCCAACATGGTGAAACCTCGTCTCTACTAAAAATGCAAAAATTCAGCTGGGCATGGTGGCGTGTGCCTGTAATCCCAGCTACTCAGGAGGCTGAGGCAGGAGAATTGCCTGAACCCAGGAGGTGGAGGTTGCGATGAGCCGAGATCGTGCCAATGCACTCCAGCCTGGGTAATAAGAGCGAAACTCCGTCTCAAAAAAAAAAAAAAAAAAGAAAGAAAGCCAGAATGATGCTGCCCACCTTCTCCACAATTGTCTGGGTCTGTACACACAGTGTGGGTAACTCATGTAAAGTGTCTTTCCAGTTCTCCCACTCATTCCCTGTCCTCCTAGACCATCCCTCAGCTGAAACTCAGAGGATAGAAGGAGAGAAAACTAGCTGATAAAGATTACCATTTCTGTTCTGGAAGTGTCTCAAAGACTGGATATTAACTCCCCTTTGTGAGTTAAAAGGGGAGTTAACTGTTCTGTCATGACTGAAGGAGTTCATTCTCATAAGTAGACAGACTCCAGGGGTGGTGGTCTAGACTCTTGGTCTAAGAACCATGGTGCCCAACAAATGATTTAATTATCTAGATCAAAGCACAACTTTGAAGCAGTAATTCATATCCTCATACCCCTCCACCTTGGGATATAACCCCTCCCTGTAGGTATACTGATTTGACCCTTAGAGGCCCTTGAAAAGGTACCAAATTCTGGCACATAATAATAGATTTGGGGGAGTTACCTGGGAGTCTATGGGGCTCCCCTGCCACGCTGGGCATCAGGACATCTGGGGACAGGAACTGTGGTTGGGGGGGGTAGAGTTGGGGACCGAGGAGAAACACAGAAGGGTCATGGATGACAGGGAGGGAAGAGGAGCTGGAACAACGGTGCCCGGTTTCCAAAGGCTTCCTCACGTTTGATGAATCCTTATAATGAGACAAGACAAAAAAACATAGAGATGAGGATTAACACAAAGCAGGATGTAGTTGGGTAAACACAGTGAGGCAAGCAAAGGGAAATGGAGGGAACCAGAGAACAAACATACCTTGTTCTGGAGAGGGACCCGATTTACTCAGTCACTTTCCCTTGTCAGCCCTTTAAGAAACTGCAAACTTCAGATCCTCATCCCTTACCCAGTCTTCCTCATATCCCTCACCTTCCCAACCCTAACATTCAGGTCTTTAGCAAACTCCTTAATGCTAACAGTAGAATTAGAGAGATTGAGATAGAAATTTAAAAATAAAAATGAAATGAGAGAAATTCAAAAGCCTGAATGAGAAAAAAAAAATCCTATACTTATTCTAAGCATTGAGAATAAAACTATGTATGTTTAAATGTAGACTCAAGAATTCTACCCCATCTTCTCTCCTGTCACTGCTACACATTCCACAGCTTTCTCTTTTGCCTGTCAAGTTTGTATTTGCTGATGCTGATGTCCTGCTTTACTCCCTATTAGTTATCTACTTTTATGGTAAATACCCAGAAATATTCCCTTTTAACATCTGAAACACTAACATATCCAAAATTGAACCAAAATCCTTCCAAACTCCTCCTCCTGGCACCTCATTTTCACAAATCACCCATATTCAAACATTGGCAATGACCTTGATTTCCCACTTCCCATCCACAATTCCACTAGTTGCCAAGGGCTGTCATTTCTACCTATAGGTTTTATATTTAAACTCACCTGGACTACTGCAACAGCCTTCAATCTGCTCTTCCTATCTCCAATCCACTCCTCCTTACCATGGTCTACAAGGTCCTATGTGATATGGCCCTGCTGCTCCTCACTTTATTTCCTATCATTCCTGTAGCTTTTATACTCTAACTTTAATGTTCCTCAAACACACCAAGCTCATTGCTACCTCAGAACCTTTATACTTACTGTCTCTGTTACCAAGAATATTCTTCTGATGGCTCACACCTTCACATCACTGAGATCTCTGATGAAATGTTATTTCCTTAGAGCTGATTTCCCTCACTACCCTACTATCAGGAATAGCCCTCAAAAAAACCACTATTACCTCTTTACTCCTTATTCTCTTGCCTTATTTTATTCTTCTTTATCATACTTATCATTGTCTGGCATTAAATCATTTATTTGTTTATTATCTTTCTCCCGATTTCTTTTTACTTCTGTATCCCCAGCACCTTGAACAGTACCTAGAACAGTGTGGGGACTTAGTAAATAACACATTAAATAAAATAATCTCTATGCCAATATGTCTAATTTCCTTTATGAGACTGAAAGCTACTCAAGGGCAGAATTTGTGTTGTTTCATCAGTGTATGCTCACAGCACCTACCACAAGATGGCACAAGATAGGCATTTATCATACCACATAAGGACCAGGTGCCAGTTCTCTCAGCATGTGACATAGCTAATCATTCCTTTCTTCTTTAAACATTCTCCCATTGGTGCCTATGGTACCACACATCCCTGGTTTCCCTTCAATCTCTCTAGTCTTTTTTTCCCAGTCTCCTTTTAGGGTTCTTCAGAAGAACTACCTTAAATCTGATGCTGTTTAGGGATATGTCCTGGCTCCTCTTTCTGCAATAGTCTTTTCCTCTTTTCAATGGCTATGATTTCCAAATTTTCAATTTCTAGCTTATATGTCTCATTCCAAAGGCCTGCCAGATATCTCCACTCAAGCTTAATATATGCAAAACCAAATGCATATCTTCCATCAAATATATCATTATCTACCCATAACACTTGGGTATCATCCTTGATTCCCCTTCCCAATATCCAGGCAGGCACCAACTCCCACTGATGTTTTACTTCCTAACCGGGTCTCAAGTACATCAGCTTCTCTCTATCCTTTCAAATTACTTATGGTGATACACAGGGTTCTCTGTGGTCCATGATCTGACCCTTGTTTATATTCTTTGCAGCCTCTCTTGTTAACACTCTCCATCATCTCCCCTCACCAGACTTTCTAATCCTGCCACACTAAATAAGCTTCTTTTAATTCAGTTAATTTTTGCTCAGTTCTCTTTTACCTACTATATTCTTTTTGCTTCTTCCAGGAAGCCTTCCATGATACCTCAAGCTTGGTTTAAATGTCCCTTCTATTATGTTCCCATAGGATCAAATCCTTAATACATTATAATTGTTTATTTATCTGTCCCTCATTGTAGACTGTAAGCTCCATAAAGCAGGGACTATATCTAACTCACCACTGTATCTCCAGCACCTAGCACAATACCTAAAACATCCACTCAGTAAGCACTTATTTGTTTATTTTTGTGCTAGGAATCTTGTGACAGAATCAATAAGCATTTATTTAAAAGAATGAATCAATGGCATTAAACTTGTACAGTATGTTGGATAAAAAAGAAAACAGGAATAAAGAAAAAAGTTTTTAAAAATAAAATAAAAAGAATGAATCAATAAATGATACAGAAGTCAGAAGAAAAGAAGTAATTCTCCTAGGAAAATAACAATTTGCCATTAAATGCACTGAAAGTATATGAGAACAGGCCGGCGCAGTGGCTCATGTCTATAATCTCAGCACTTTGGGAGGCCAAGGCAGGTGGATCACCTGAGGTCAGGAGTTCAAGACCAACCTGACCAACATGGAGAAACCCCATCTCTACTAAAAATACAAAATTAGCTGGGCGTGCTGGTGCATGCCTGTAATCCCAGCTACTCGGGCGTGCTGGTGCATGCCTGTACTCCCAGCTACTCGGGAGGCTGAGGCAAGAGAATCACTTGAACCTAGGAGGCGGAGGTTGTGCTGAGCTGAGATCACACCATTGCATTCCAGCCTGGGCAACAAGAACGAAACTCCATCTCAAAGAAAAAAAAAGAAAGTACAGGTGAACAAATGGTAGGCAGTAAAGTACACCTTTTCCAAAAAAGAATGGCAGCCTGTTCAGAATTGTTTAGGAATTTATGAACAATAAATTGAATAAATCTTATTATAAATTCAGCTTTTTTTTTTTTTTTTAAGACAGTCTCCCTTTGCCACCTAGGCTGGAGTGCAATGGCTCAATCTTGGCTCATTGCAACCTCTGCCTCTCGGGTTC